AAAAAAAAAAAAAAGGGACAGAGCAAAAGTAACAGCTAGCAGTTTTATGCAAAGGAGTGTATTCTGTAATCATTAACTATATCGTCTCAAGCCACAGTCAGGGTTGCATCTGCCTTGGGACTCAGGTGTGTAGAGAATTGGAGGACCACCATGTTATCTAACTATAATACACCCAGGGCAGCACAGCAGTGCATAATATAACTTATTGCTTATAGAGGCATTGGATTTTTCAAGATGATAAAACCAATGACAAGACTCAACTAAATGGGGGTCTTCAGCCACAGCTCAAGTCCCTGTCCTGTTCCCCATTGTGATACTTACTCTTGGCACCCCTTGTGTCTCTTCTTGTCTGCTGTTCTACTCTTAACTGAGATCAAAACTATGATGCTTGGCTTCTTTTGGTATCTGCTTATCTTTAAAGTGCTGGGCACCCTTTACCAGACCCTTGCAAAGCAGGTGATGCAAAGGCATAAGGAGATGGAGTGACTTAGCTCAGGTCATATGTCATCTTGGCTTCATCACAGGGGCACCACGGTGATCTAGTAACGGGTGTTGCTGATTGGATTTTTCTGATATATTGACATGTCTTGCTTTAATCCTTCTAAAATTATAGTTCATTTAAATTTAGCTTAACTATAGTTTAAGATAATTTTTTTGATGAAAATGTTGACTGAACACTTAGAGAGAGAATTGCACATAGCACTCTTTATCTTGGATACCATGGGTCGAGATTATTTCACATGCATGGAGATAGTTGATAACTGCTCAGTAGCTCCTAGTCCCATATTTAAAAGAAAAGTGGATGACTGAGTTAGATGCTCTGACTGTTTGATTTGATGGTGGTGCTTCAAAATAAATACTTGCCAGACTTCAAAAGCAACGTGTTCTGGCTGACCTGCCTCCGAGGTTGGTGTGGGGACTGGCCTCTGCAAGTACTACTCTTAAAATCAGTGTCACTGACCTGAGGGGGGAAGAAAAAACAACTGAAAATCCTTTTTTCCTCTCTCTCTTTTCCTCTCCCTGTCCCCCAATCTCTTATCTGGCAGGGAGCAGAGAGGAAGATCAGGGATGAAGAACGAAAACAAAGCAAAAGAAAAGGCAAGTGCACTGACCCCAGTTCTCAGCTGAACGCCTGTAAGTAAAAATTATTCTTTCAAGCCTTTAAATATTAGACTGCACATCCCTTACAGAATTTTGTCTCTGGTGCAGTGGAGTTCTCCTATATAAACAAATCCCCTTTTTTAAACCTATGAAATAATTCCCTTATAAGCCACTATATCTGGGTTTGCAAACTGTTTTTACTGTGCCCTGGATCAGTTGGGACTCTAATTCAACTTCACTCCAGAAAGAGCTCGGTGTAACCACTATCAAAGAGTTCAAATGTACCGCCAACTTGGGAACCCAGTTGAGAAAATGAGGTGTGGTAGCTGTGGATCCAAGACTTGGCACTTGGGATCAAAGATGAAAAGTGTTGTACAAGGTGTCCCTCAAAGCTGGGTAAGCATTGTCCACCCCAGGTTTCCAGCAGGGGTAACTGATGCACAGGTTGGGCAGGGACCTAACTTTGAGAACTGCTGGAGTACTCGCAATTCCAGCCAAAGCCAGTCGGAGCTGGAAGTACTTGGAACATTTACAAATCTGGCCTGAAGTGGCATGGACCCTGAAGTAACAAGTGGCAGAGTCTGGAGTAAGACCCCAGCTCTTCTGATTTCCAGACCCAGCTTCTATGAACCAGATCAAGCTAATCCCTTTTCAGGTGGTAGTTTTGGCTTGAGATTTGTTTTGAGAACAGATTAACAGAAGTTTAGGGCTGGAAGGGACCTTGTGAGATCTTTGGGTCCAGCCCCCCTGCTCTGTACAGGAAAGACTGCAGGGGTCAAATAACCCCAGCAAGGTGTGCATCTAACCTCCTTTTGAAGATCTCCAGGGTAGGTGCCTGCACCATCCCTGCTGGGAGTCTGTTCCAGAGTCTGGTCACAAACCATGAAGAACTTTTTCCTTGTATCCAGTCTGAAACCTTCTTTTAGGAGTTTGACCGATGCTCCTGGTTTTCCCCTGGGGCGCTGTGGTGAATAGTTTTGCCTAGCCCCTGATGCTCTCCCCTGATATTTGTAAGCTGCTGCAAAAGTGAAGGTGAGACTGAGGCCTTAGTCCTGAAGTACACAACTTTCTGGCTGTGTTCTTCCAGATGTCTCTAACTTCTTAACATTGTTCTGAAGATCCAGTTTCATACGTTCACTCCATGTACGTGCCTGGTTACTTGTTAACAGGGCTGATTTATGTAAAACGTATATCCCCATTTCTCTTCCATGCTGTGTAGCAGAGAAGCATGCACTCCTTCCCCCTGCCCCCCTTTCTATTGCATGAGGAAGATGTTAAGTCACTGGATGTGTTTGCCAGAAGCTGAACTTCTAACAGTCTGACCGGTTCAACAAGTGTTCACCTCACAGCTCATTAAACAAGATTTTCCTGACCCAGCAAGTCAGGAAAGCTGGTGGTGCAGCTTCAGGAGAAAGTGTTGTCACAGGGAAACCTGGTTGTTCTGAGGTAGTTATAGTGAGGGCAGCATTTTGAAGTACATCCTAAAGAGGAGGTTCCACACATGCCAGTATTGTGTTTAAAATATTGAATGATACAGGTTGTTCTATCTGAGTGTAGTAGCCTCAGTGCCATCCACAGATCACCATGCACGACGTAGACCTACTGTTAATGGCGGAGAAGGGTATTCCATATCAAACCTGTGAGAAAAATCCCTCTTGGGGGCAAAACATGAGCTTAATCCCAAAGAGACCCTTTTATCCCCCAAAATTTGAACAAATATGGAGTGGCCATTTTTTTAAATGTCAGGTGCTGTACTCTTCCCTTCCCATTCCTCCCTGACATCATAACTGTGTATATACATGGATTGCCTCATAGTAGAGCCGGCTGATAGTTTTTGCTTAAAGTTTTTTTTGTGACCAAAAAGGCAATTTCTAGAAAATTTTGAAGCTCTTTTTTTTTTTTCCCCCCCACCACAGAAAATCTTTTAATTTTACTGAAATGTATATGGGAACTGCTGGAAACTTTGCGCTGGGAAATTTTGAAATGAAATATTTCATTTAGGGTCAGTTTGACCCAAATCAGAATCCCTTCATTTTGACAGACTTGATTTGAAATGCTTTGTTTAGGATTAGTTTGACATTAATCTGCGCGCATCTCAGCTTTTTTAGTGCCTCTGGGAAGTTGTGGTTCAGTTCTTTTGTACCCTGTTTTTCTTACAGGCTGGGCTTCCCTGATAACTGCATTACCAGGGATACACTTAGATCTTCCCTTTGAACTTCCACATCAGTTCCACTAGAGTCATGCTAACCACAGTGCTTTGAGTCTATGGGGTCCAGCCAGATAGTCTGGCCAATAAAGAAAGCAGATCATGCGACATGTGAATTAGAGCTCCCATGAGGAAATGCGACAGATCAGGGTGACGTAGATTGAATATCAGATCAAACCAAAGTACTTCTCAGTGCAGGAATTTTAAACTAGAATTTTTCATGGAACTTTTCATTTTACCAACAAAAAAAAGTCAGTATTATTATACCACATTCATAGCGGTAATAGTACTTATGAAAGTGCTTTTTAGTTGAGATTTTCCAGAATGAAGCCAAGTGAAAAATGGCATTGCCACCCTACAAAACCCATTTTTTTTGAAACTTCAGAAACATTCCTGTTTTGCATTGGGGCATGCATAAGACCTTTTGTGATGGGGGTGAGAGAGAGACAGACTCCAGAATACCAAGAGGCCAGGAGCCAGGCAGTTCATTTGGATACAGAAAGCCAAGGTCTGAATTGGGCAGAACAGGGACTTAAGCCTGGGTCACCCACATCCCCTGCGAGTGACCAAACTGGTGGTCACTAGAGTCACTCTGTGGCTCGCTGAATATTTATATGAAGTGGAAGAGGTCTGACAGGAGAGTGAAGGAGACCTACAACAGGCAAGCCTGGATGTTAGGGAGCTTGTGGGGAGGTGGGATAGCCTGGCTGAAGTTCCTGTACCAAATCGTGGCAGAACAGGAACCTGAACTTGTAGGCTTGTCGGTGTTCCTGGTACGCCAGCATCAATATGTCAGCAGAACCCCTTAGAAGAGATGCCAGTGTATGGTGGCAGAAAGTGTGATTGCCCTGCTGCCTAAGCTAGACTACTTCACCAAAGGACAGAAGCTAAGCTGATGGAAGTCCTCTTTTTGTCAACATTGCTGTGTTGAGATGGGGGGGTGGGTATTGCTGGCATGTCACTTAGCTGTATGATCTTTTCACACCCCAACTGGTGTGGATAAGCTAGCCAAACTTTGACTTAGAGCAGCCCTGAATTTTTTGGATAAACTGGCGATGAGGGCCATTATCAGCTCTTCTGCAGTAGCTGTCCCCTTTTTCCCTCTCCCCCTCTGAGTAGCAATTCCACCCATTTTGGACCCGAGAAATTTTTCCCAATGAAAGTTGTGTCCACACCCTACACATTAACATTCTCTAACAGGAAAAAAAAAACATTTATTTCATTAGGAAATTCCTGTGAAGTATGCAAGTATTTACTTCACTAAGCAGAGTCTGAGGCACAGTGAAGATGCACTGGAAGCCAGTCAACAAAGCAGGGCAGAGATCCTAGCTGTGTGGTAGTCATGAGACCATCCTTCCTTAAGAAATGTTTGTAAATGTGAAGCATCCTGTGTGTAACCCTTTCAAGCAATTATGTGATATTGAGATGGAAACCATGGGCTCCTATAGACTTACGCCTTTCTTTTGATCCTGCTGGGCACAAGCTTCCAGAGAAAGGGTGAGCTTGCTTGGAGAAGTTCTGTCAATGAGAAATATATTAGTTCTTCTTTCTGCCAACGTGAGTGCTTTCTCCTAATCATGGTCAAGTTGGGATGTGATGTCATTTGGCAAGCACTTGCTCCTTACTTGCTGAAAAGGCTTTGCCTAAGGAAAATGGAGGCAGATTGAGAGCATTGGATGGTGTTCAAGCTCTGTTGTTTGTGGAGTGAGGGAAGAGGAGACTTAAGATACTCTTTAGGAGGTTGTCGCTGAAATGTGGTAATAAATGGATATTTTGGAAGGGAGATGCAGCCTATAAAATCGGTCTCCTCTGACGCAGGTGATTTAGCAGCCTCTGGAGATGGTGACACCATCAGAAACCTTTCTGCTTGGTTGAGAAATGTTAGCAGTAGACCCAAGGTTCTTCTCTTTCTCCCTGCCCCAGCTTATCACATCTAAACAGGAACATGTTACACTTATGAGGTCCTGACCTTACTGAATCCTAAGTGTCTTAACTATCCATTTATGTTGATTTTTTTTTTTGATCTCTTGTCAGTTTCCGATGTCAAAGTGCCAATGCTTCCCTCCCACAAGCGGATGGACATCACTGTCTTCAAGCCATTCATGGATCTCGACACTCAGCCAGTTCTTTTTATCCCCGATGTTCACTTTGCAAATCTCCAACGTGGTGCTCATGTACGTGATATGAGTGTGTGTATGTGAGGGAGAGAAACAAAAACTGTGAGCTTGTATGCAAATTTGGGCACTATATACATGATGATGCCATACAGAGCTAATGCAATGGTTCTTAGATGTGTAAATCTTGGAAACAGAAATTGCTCTTAGGGGGTTAGAACCCGTCAGTTACTTCTCTAGCGGCAGTGTTTTACTGAAAAATGCCAATTCATTGATCTGCCGTGTTTTGGAAGAACAGCTTATCTTAATGTGCTCTTTGGTTTGACAGAGGCAGTTTCCTTATGACTTCCTGCATGACTTCTGCAGAACCTGGTCTTCTAGGCGCTGCTGCTACAGGGCAGCCCCATCCTGTGCACCACCACAGGACCAGGAGACCCCAGTGCTTTTGAGGGTCTCTGGCTCCAGGTCAGCCTCATCATGCTATAAATAGTGGTGAAATATCAAGAAATGCTCCCATTGAAGGAGCAGCGGTCATGGTCCCCTGAGGGGGTTCACCTCAGAAATTCCCTAGGTTGGTGTTTCTGAAACCAAAATTCTTTTTAATTTTTTTTTTTCTCCACACCCCCCCAATCTCCTGGTTCCCTCTGATTCAAAGTGAAACCAAATGTTAAATGAGTGAAATCTCCTGTGATCTTTTTTTTTTTAAATCTCTCATTTTGGCCAGCTCTAGTATAATGCATCCTAAAACACAAACAGTTAAAGCTCAGACTCCACCAAACAGAGATTAGGAAGAAATGTTAATAGGCTTTTTCCATATGTCTTTCTACAAAGCCCCTGCTACTAGCCACAGTACAGAAAATGGCCTACTAGTCCTAGGTACAGCAGTGATACGACCTTTTAATTTTTCTATTGCTAGTGTTTCATTCCTCTTGCATTTTTAAAAACACCATACTTGCATGTGTGCCCCCTTTCCCAAAAATCGAGACTCTAAAATTTGGGTTACATATCTTAAGCAGTGAAGTTGATTTTTCTTTGCTGGAAAAAGCATGGAGACACTGTACTGTAACGGCTGTGAAAATGGAACAACAAGCAGCAGGACCGGAGTCCCCCTCCAGCCACTGCTTTCATCAGTCCCATGGGATGCCCATGCCCACCACGGGACAGGGCAGTTTTTGGGTGAGGGAGATCCCCTGCCCTCCATCAATGCTGACCTCATGAAGGAACACTGTGAGAAGCTGGATACCTTCAAGTCAGCCAGCCCTGACAATTTACACCCCAGGGTACTCAAGGAGCTGGCTAGCATCATAGCCCAGCCTCTGGCACGGATCTTTGAAAACTCCTGGCGCTCTGGTGTAGTGTCCTAAGACTGGAAGAAGGCCAGTGTGGTGCCTATCTTCAAGAAAGGAAGGAAAGTGGATCCTGTTAACTATAGGCCCATCAGCCTGACTTCTATCCCGGGGAAGATCTTAGTAAAGTTTATTAAAGAGGCCATCCTTAATGGACTGCATGACGCCAACATCCTGAGGGATAGCCAGCACGGGATTGTTGCGGGTAGGTCTTGCTTAACCAATCTCATTTCCTTCTATGACCAGGTGACCTATCACCTGGACAAGGGCGAAGAGATTGATGTCATATATC